TGAAGTAAAAGTAGAGGTTAAACTAGTATGTGAGTTTAGCTGTAACAGGTGATTTTAAAATGAGTAGTCAACAACCTTAGTATTATAACAAACAGAGTAGAGGAGAATAATTTGTCTTGTCAAACTGTCGTCTAAAGTAATTGAACCCACCTGCATGGGCTTTGACAAAAAAGAGACAATTATTTAAAACTCTGGATATAAATGTGATATGCAATAATGTAACAAAGTTTTGTATATACGTTTTAGTTATTTTAAATATATTATTTTAAAACAAGTCAATTGTGTGCTGTCCATTTATTGTTGAAATTTATCATCAATGTGTCACAGATACCTACTATAAAGAATCCTTGCCTTAACAAAACCTGACATTTGGTGAGCCAGCCAGTATTATACAGTGGTAAATGATGGTAAAAGAGGTGAGCAACTATGGCAAAGATGGCAAACTATGAGAGTTTGTTAGACAACAACAAGAACTAGAGAGAGAAAAGCATCAACAGATGTGGAAGTAGGAGAGGCAGGGGAAAAAGGAAGAGAAAATAAGAATACAAAAATAGGAAGAAGGAAATGAGAGAAAAGAGAGACTGCAAATAGAGAGAATAAGAGCACAAATTGAAATCACCAAGCTCACTTAATAGAAAGATGAAGGACCCAAGAATAGCATTGGATTCAAGCTGCCCATACTTGGTGAACAGAAAGTCAACATGGATACTTTCTTGGAGAGGTATGAAAGATTCACCCAAAGCCAGAACTGGAACAAAGGCAACTGGACAGTTTGTCTCAGCCCACTTCTCACAGGAAAAGGCCTACAAGTATATGCTGGCATGATGTCAGATACCATGGACTCTGACAACCTAAAAGTGGCATTGCTGAAACTTTATGAACTTACCAAGAAAGGTTTATGCCGAAAAGTCAGGGAAGTCAAATCTGTCACTGGAGAAACTGTATTTCGGTTTGTGGCACATGTATGGAGATACTTTACAAGTTGTTCTGACATAGCTAAATGTGAAAATAGTTTTGAGGGACTAGCAGATCTACTAATACGTGAACAGTTCATGATCACGTGCTTCACTAACATGTCACTGTTTTTAAAGGAGAGGGCACTAAAAGATGTGGATGAGATGATCAAGTTGGCAGAACAGTATGTGGAAACCCATGGAGGGAGTGTAACTGGCAATTCTAAGAATAACTAGTTAAAGTTGAAACCAAGGGTGGCTGACCAGAAACAAGATATCATCAAAGGTGACAAGAAGTCACCAGATAAAAGGTAGAGGAGATGCAGTATTTATTATAAAATGGAGCACATTGCAAACCAATGCAAGTATGTCACCAACAAGCAACAGCATAAATATCAACATAAAGCAGCTGTGGCAACCTACAAAGATGGCGCTTGCAAGAAACAAGAAAAGAACAACTATCATCATGGATGCTGCTGCCAGAAGAAACAGAAAGAGACAACCTATCAGATTCACCACAAGAAAGAAGTGCTGTTTCCATGATTAAACTGTGCACGACTGATGGTCAGCTCAAGTTACGAAACGGATCAACAGTGCCGCTATTGATTGGAGCATGTGACAAACAATGAGAAGTGCCAGTAGGTGAAGGCTATGTCAGGGACAAGAATGTAGTGCAACAATGAGAACTAGTCTAGTATCTGATAACTAGATGATGGTCAAGGTACAACTGTGTGTGCTGATTGATGGGTCAGTGAAACAGTTGGACACTCCATACTACATGGGAGACCTTAATACCATGTGTATGAAGGCACCTATCTACAACTTTGTGATTGGCAACATACCAGGCAGTACAAGTTTGGAGGAACAAAACAGAAACGATACTGATGAGGCATCTGCAGTTACCACAAGATGTAAAGAAAAACAAAGTAAGCAAGATATCAAGCCCCTGCAAGTATCAAAAAATAACATCCTGAATGTAAGTCTACAGGAACTGAAGGAACCACAGAAGAAACTTCACTTCAGAAACTTTGGGACAGAGCTCATGAGAAAGTAGAGCACAAGACAAACCGGAAATAATGGAGGATTGTAAAGGTCTGCAGTACCAGATATATCAAGGCATTTATACTGGGGAAATTAAACAGGTCTTAGTACCAACAAAATGCTAGACTCAAATGACAAAGTTGGCTCATGAGCTGATTGTGGGAGAACACCTAGGACTAAAGAAGACTGCAAAAAGAATCTCCAGCAACTTCCATTGGCCGGGGGTCATCAGAGATGTGACCAGATTCTGCAGGTCATGTGATACCTGCTAAAGAACAGTACCAAGACGAAATGTATTCAAGGTGCCACTGGGTGAGATGCCTCTCATAGAAGAGCTATTCGGTAGAGTAGCTGAGGAATTGATTGTACCACTAGCACCTGTATCAAGGGCAACCAGTAGGTGCTGACAGTAGTTGACTATGTAACACATTATCCAGAAGCCATAGCATTGCCGAAGATAGAGATGGAGATAGTAGCAGAACCACTCCTGGAACTTTTCTGCAGACTAGGCTTTCCAAAAGAAGTCTTGAGTGACAGAGGGACACAGTTTACCTCATAAATGATGCAATAGGTGTACTTGATTGTGCAGGTTTAGCCCATGTTCAGGTTCAAAATAGCAAATGTTCATAATCATTGTTTCTTTTTGCTGACAAATTAGCTACAATAACATATGAGAATAATGTTTGGTATATAGCATTAACTGTTTTCACTTGATAAAAACATATACAACTTCCCTGTTTGAATGTAATTATATATCATGCCCTTTTAAATAAAACATAGTAAAGTACCAAAATTATACGTATTTTATTTTGTTTATCCCAAAGTAATATAGAAAATAATGATTTGGCTAAGACATACTGCTCAATTTTAAAGGGGAAATATCTTTTATTGGTGTTTTAACCTTTTTATCCAAGCTTTAATCAGGAAACTGAATATGGACATTCATTATGTTAATTTTTTTTTTTTAACTTTCGGTCCTCTAACTAGAGAGTCTTGTTCACTTCACTTGCTCAACAAAGGCTCTGTTAAAATGGCCACAGCTAACAATCGAATAGAAAATCTAATGCTTTGAATGTCAGTGCATGTAATTTAATCAAATATAAGTACAATACATTATGAGACTTAAACAAGTCCAAGTTTGATGATAGTTTTAAGTAATCTTAAGATTTATATAATCTAAAGAAATAAATATTTTTTTGTTCTTCATCTTCTCAACATTTCTTTAGTGACAGATGCAGTAATAAAGTATAGTTTGTTCAGAATCAAAGTATACTAACTCATTTAGTTTGATAACAACAGCTTGTCTGTTAGAGATTTTCAGACAATAATTTGTGACATACTAAATGGTAGTCATGTGATTCTACTATCAGAGCTTACACAATAATCTATTTTTCACACCACCTCTCCACTCAGTTAACATCTATTGTCAAATAATTATGAGAACAAAGTGTCATTCAATAGAAAGGGCTTATTCTTGGTGAATGAATAGTATCTCCTGAATTTAAAGAAATGTAGACTGTACTTCTAATGATTATATCTACATGTCCTTCTGATATTCCAAATGTTCCATTATTGGACACAGTAACATGTGTAACTAACAAGTTGGCAGAAGTAAAATGTCCAAATAACAATGAAATCTGGGCTTGCCTGTTAGTGGCCATGTGGGTAACTTGCATTTTCTGTACCTCATCCAATGGGGCAATGCTTTTTGCTTGTACTCTACAGTCTCCAGTGTGACTTTGAGCATCAGTGGAACATAGTGAGCAATCCCCTTGTTCATTTTGACTCAGTCTTTCTTTCCACTATTTTCAACATTTGGTTGTTGCTATTATGCAGTTAAACTACTGTAGAGGTAGTTCATCAGCTTCATCTTTTTACAAATGCTTTTCTATTGGCGTGACTTGTTGTTGTAATAAACAGACTGATCTCCAGCCTTTGATCTTGTTCAGAGTTCCTTTCCCATCTCAGAGTTTTAGAAATATGGTGTGTGCTCAGAACCAGTTGATCCTGGCTTATTCTGACAATGCCACACTGGTCTCTTATATTAAGAAGCGGCTTATAACCATGAAATCTGTGTTTTGTTATACTTACTGTCTTCAACTGAACCCACTCTCAGAACTGTCAGTTTAGTGCTTACTATGTTTTGGGAGTGATGAACAGAATTACAAAAAATCTCTTACCCAAGCAAAATCTTTCTGACAAAGTGGTTCTTATCTCTACAGATTTTCAAGTAAATGTGTCAGGTGTGGGAGGCCTCCATATTGGATATGTTTTTGGGTGTGAATTTTACAGCACAACTTCTCATCTTTGGATCTAGGGCTGCAGACAGTTTAATGGAGGTGGAGATATATTTTATCTATATGCCTTTCATCCTCACCATTTTTTCTGCTAAGGGCTTTGCAAGATCTGGAACACCAAGTATTGGGTTTTAGTGGTGGCTTTTTAGGAACCAGCTTTATGTGTTGGAACCTCTGGATATTTCATCATATAGATATAACATTTTACTTCAGGCTAAGATATGTTCCATAAAAGAAGTTTCCATAGTTAGGAAATAGATTATTATTCCTAGCAATAGCTGAAATGTATGATGAGCCAAATATTGGGTTCTTACATTTAAGTTTCTGCTTGTTAGGTCAAGCTTCCAACACACACTTTTCTAGGCCTAATTATCAATCATACTGCATGCCTTAACCAAAGAAGTAATTAATTTTATGTTGACATTTGTGTGTTATATGTGGTTATAAAAATTAAAGGAAAAACTTACAGACCAAAGAGAGAATTACTGACTACATTTACGTCCTTAAGACCTTTTGGTTTATACATGCTACAATATTTTGTGTGATCTTTTATTGTATAATTAACTATTTTGTGTACAAGCTATTGGTAGTTTGCATGTGCAAGTATATGTATATACTTTTTTTATATTATATGGGTAAATGTCTTAGAATTGACAGTTTGGTTGTTTAACCAATATTATTGTTAATTTATTCAATTTTTTGCTTTTATGTAATATGAATTGTTTGATTGTCTCATCTTTAGATACATTCAAATTTAGCTGTGAGATATTCTTCCTTATAAAACAGCCTACTGAAATTTACATTGTAACCTTTATGTGGCTCATTAATTATTAGTTTAAGAGTAATATTTCACCATCTAAACAAATGATTCTTAATTAGTATTCCTATGTAATTTTATTATAAGTTGTATACAGTCTTCAACTTATGTAATTTCATACACTGAGATTGTTATTTATTTTTACAGATATCTAGTTCAATTAAATCAAGAAGGATCACCAGTAAAAATGAAACTGATCCATCAAACTTGCACAGGTACTGTGAGAACTGCATAGAGAATGTACAATCAATGGTTCTATGTGAAAAACCACAGTGGTTTGATACATTTAGTTGTTTTTAATGCATGAGTTTCCTTGGCTTTCAAATTGAAATTTTTTCAGTGTTCAAAAAGCTTTATCATTAGGTGTTCTTTTATACTTGAAGTACTTTGGAAGTCTAAAAAAGACTTTGTTTTTTAATTGAATAAGCCAATTCTCTAATGTACTACATATATATCTAGGTGATAAAATAAAAAACAGGAACAATGTTTACAAAATGTACAATGAAAACTTTTATTTGGCCAATAATTTTACATGTTTTAGCAACTTTACACTGCTGTCATAGAGAGTAAACTATACATGGCAAGCTGGAAACTTTATAAGGAGATTTAATTCATTAAAAACTATATTTGAAATGAGGTATGAATGCAATAAATAATATATTGATCAAACAAAACATAATTTAAATTATTGTTTTAATGAACATAAAGCTATTAATTTTTCCATTTCAAATAGAGATGAATGATAAGCTCGTGTTTATGCTCAGTTTTGGAAAGAAATATTAATTTATTTTACAAATAATGTATATATATATTCATAATACCCTTTAAAGGTTATAAGGACTTAAATCTCCTTTTAAAGCTCCCCTCTTGCTATTTATGTCTTATTCCTGAAGATGGTAACATAAAGTTGCCATAGGATGCAGAGTTATTTATCATTGTGAATTTTTTTTAATCTTTTTTTTTCTGCTTTTTTTTTTTAATTTTTTTGTCCCAAATTACCATGAATGTTTACATGTACATGATTTTATAATGACAGATTTACTTGATATTCAGTTATGCCTAGTGAAATACAGGAAACTCAGTTTTAATGGATTTAAAATAACAGTGATCTTTTAATGCTAACCATTCTAGAAAAGTACCTGAAGCTGTATTTTTATGCTGTGGGTTTTCACACTAAATAGATTTTGATATGACAGCATGTTTGATGTCTGAAAAGAACTTTTTGATAACTAAAAAGTGGATCTTATTTGCTACATAAAAATTATCTTGTAATGCCAATCTTATAGAAATCAGACTTAACTTTGTTTGGATAATGAAGCACTAACTTGGTCATCATAAGTTTCATTTGGAAATTGTCCAATAACAGCAGTCTTTGGAGACTTATTAATTATTTCTTAAGAAAACTATAATTAATACTTGTGTCCCCTGTTCAGAAGTTCCAGGAAACTTCTAGTATATATCATTTAAGTTTAAATGCATTTTGATTGTAAGTGTGATAGTTACATTTAAATGTTTTTACTTTTTTCCTTTTTTCAAGAGCTTTTTAGTTAGATTTATATAGCATAACACTTAACAACTTCAATATTAAAACTTTTTTCCCTTTAATAGATAAAGACTTTAAGACAAAATATAATTGGAAAGAAGATCTGCAGTTCTGTTCATTGTATCTAGATAGAAAGGTAAGACAAACTGTGTAAGTCTAATGTTCTTCTGTTTTCATAATCTATGTATTAAGTAAGTGTATGCTGAAATAAAATTTAAAATATGTGTATACAGTATAGGCTCTTACACACAGCCTTTTTCTTCACTTCTCAATCTCTTCCTCTTCTGCCCTCTTTCAAGAGGGTTGTTTGCCCCTTTCCATGGCTCTATTCTTGTCTTTTTGCTGTTTCCAAAAAGTTGAGGGACTGGCATTCTATCATCAACTTTTTTTCTCTCAACCTGTATTTGGTGGTTCCTCAGTTCAAGATAGAGAGAGTTCTTTCTCTCTGTCTGTTCTTTCCCACCTGACTATGGATGACCATGGTAAACATCTCAGACACCATTCTATATATTCCAGTTGCCCTTTTCTCTCATCATTTTCTTTGTTTCATTCACAGAGATCAGGTATATCAATTTTGGGCTCTATCCTTTGGCATTGCTTCCCCTCCTTATGTCTTCAACTGAATCATTGGAGCTTTTGCTAGCTATTTCCACAGTATTTGATTTTGTTTCCATTATTGCATGGATGACAGTTCTTCCTCACCTGTTCTCGGGAGGTCTCTTCATCAGCCATGTCACTTCTCCTTCATGAGTCAGCTCATCTACGTTGGCTGGTCAAGTTTTCCAAGTTGTTCCTTATATTTCCTTATCTTTCTTGCATGTGGCCATTGCAGATCTGATATTTATTCATTGGAAACCTCTTCTACTTTATGTTAAAGATCTTCTTTGATTTTATTCCCTGACCTCTCATAATGACCTTGATTGCCTTTTGTGTCCAGTTTGGACAGTCAGGTATTACTTGGCACATATAACTACGTTTCAGGATTCCCAAAATTGTTTATTCTTGCCATGAGACACCTCTTCTTACAGAGATCTTTTGTACTCTGTGCTTAATGGATGGATTCTTCAGCTCATCCAAATCATTCTTTCTTCCCTGGATGAAGATGCTTGCAGGCTTTGTCACATCTCATTACATCAAATATGCCACTTGACTCACTCTCTAGCCTTGCGCTTTTGAAGACTCTTGAATAATTTCCTCCAGGCAAGAATGTAGACTATGTCCATCACCTTCATTTTTCATTATATATATAACATCTGGTGGTTTTTGTCTCCCTTTAGTCACCATTATCCAGTTTACTCACTGTTTTTTATTTCCTTATGTGTATATACTGTTCTCCCATTTAATTCTCAGAACCCACCTTCTAGCCAGTGTTACCTCACAGGATATGCTTCCTAAACTTGCATTGAGTCAGGGGTAATGGAAAGCATTAAATCCATCTGCTATGGCTCCTAAAGTTCCCATGTTGAG